CAGGCTATCGATTGAACACTTCTATCTGCATATGATTTGGTTTTCATCCGGTTCAAGTTTTCAACGTAAATTCGAGATTAACGACTCTTATAATTATATAGATATGTACAAAAATGAAATGCACGCGTATGTTAGTGTAAGCGTGGAGATACGTAGACTGTGCATGAGAATGACAAATGGAGAAGACGATTCTTAGCTCCAATTTCAACGTTGTTGACAGTCTTCGAGAGATGTGTAATGTGTTGTGTCTTGGAAGAGTGAAACAAAGAGGAAAACGTCAATTCCCCACGTTGTCCCACTCTTACATTCCTTTTCATTTTCGTAAGCAAATAATTATACATCGATCTTTTAGTAGGCATGTTAATCAATTATATATTGAATCTTAACTTACACATATAAAAGAGTCTCCTTTGTGAAAAAAGTATATCCCCTTCTATCAAGACTTGTTAAATCGTTCCAATATATGACATCAAAATTATTAGGAAATTTTTACGTTTCTAGCTAATTCTCACTTTTGAACCAAGCGTTATAAATACCCAAATTAAACATACATGGAATTTCCAAACAAAAAAGAAAAATAGAAATTTTAAATAACTGTTTTTACCTTCTTGCCGACTCTGGAATGATGATTTTTTGAATTTTCAAACTATCACCTACAACAATTTAAGCAGTTTGAATTTCTATTCATATTTAAAAGTGAAAGTAGTTAGTTTTTGTTTTTATGTATTCTGATTCTTAACTCATCAAAATAAAATAAGATTTTAAATGTAAGTAACTACTTAACTTATTTCTGTAAAGAACAAATTTTTTTTACATCGTGTACAATTGTAAAACGTATAGTTGTCAAATTTAAATTAGTACTTATATTAACTCTGGTCCTTAACGAGCTTTTTCCGTACGTTAATCTGCAATTCCCAAATAAATAAATTAATTAAGAGTATAAATATATAGGGTAGGGGTAGCATTGTAATTAGGGAAAAGGGAAAGAGCGAGCGAGTACAATATCATTTAATGCCTCTTTGTTCGTATTCTCTGCCACCTTCTTTCTCTCATTAATTCCTCTTTCTGCTCTCTCGTCTCAGATTCCAACTCATTAAATAACTTTTTTGTTTTTTATTTGTACCTAGTAATTCATTTGTTTTATGTCTTTTTTGCGGTCACCATGAAATTTTTTCATAAGAAACATTCAAAGGTCTTTTGATAAGACGCTTGTCATAGCTTTTTTTTTTTTACTGTTCTTTTTACCATGTCCTCTAAAAATCTCCATCACTCTTTTCATCTTTTACTTGTCTCCTTCTGTTTATAAGCATACCCATATAACAGTACACTACTTGTCATACAAAGCCCATTCTTGCTATTAAAGAAAACTTGTATAATTGGTCCAGACGGTCTAAAATGGGCTTTTAGTTTTAGTAGTTTCTTATTTGGGCCTTCAAAGTACTAATATAGGCCGAATTCAAGAAAGAACCAAACTCTGTTTTAAAGATGTGTTGCTGCTGACATACAAACAACTGGCTAACGCATCCGAACGGTCAAAATAATACCAATCTTGTCATGAGTTATCAAGCCACAAAAATGTTTCAATTTTGTTATTATATGGTTTGGTTGTCTTAAATCCCAATAGTTGACAGTAAATGTTTGTTTCTACCATTATATAATGAGTAACAAGAAGAAAATTGCACCATCTATACGAGGAACATTGAGCCGGTTTTATGTAATAACAAACCTCAGTTAATTACGATCTTTTCCCATTAACTTAACTGCGAGACTCGTGCCTTGCATGTGAGTTGAACACCGTTTTCTTACAAACCTTCTAGCTGGATCCGAAGGTCTCTCAAACTTTTGGCCATTAGAGGTTCGCGTGTGATAGACAATGTAATCTTATACTCTATACAGTCTATAGATAACAACATCAATAAACTAATGATTAGATTAATCAAAAGTTCTTTTTATAACTTCCTTTTAGATATAATTTCTGTAAAGGTTATTATCATCACATATAATTTGTTTTTAGGACGGTGGTGAAATAAATGTCTCTTCCTCATTGGATTCGCATCTTATCATGGACCCTCCTTGTCTTTAACAAGCTGGATCATATTCATTTCATCATTTGCATATGTATACATGGTAAGCTTAACTTCGATCACTTATTTATTTTCACAATATCGAGGTTTTAGTATCATTTTCGAATGACAGTTTGGGTTATTTTAGCCATCATAATTAACAGCCTAAACATTATATAAAAATATATATATATATATATATATTTTTTTTTTTTACAGCCTAAACATTATATGTATGAAGCTTTACGAAGATATGCATATTTATGAATTTGTGAATACTATTTCACAAGCTTTACACGCGGCAAGGCCAAGGCCCAAGGGGTTGGAAGAATATGCAAAATACAAACAAGAGATGACAAGGCGCCTTTTAGAAAACAATTAAGCAAATTATGATTTTAAAAGGTTTTTTATGTTCGGTTAAATTTATCCAAATTAAATGAACGAAAACTATGCTTATAAAGTATAAACCGTACATAAATCATAGCCAAGTTGTATCAAAATTGGACCGAATTTGATTTCTTAAGGTTTTTACAAACCATTAACAATTTTTATAGGAAAGCGATGAGAACTGAAAACAGAACCAGATTTCTATATAGAAGAAATGAAATACAAAAGAAGTAAAGAATCATCTTCTCTTACGCATCTTATCAAGAACGGCTACATTTAAGCTAACCTCGACACGTGATAACATTTGTCGGACGCAAAATTCATACACAACCACAAAGTAATCACCACGTCACCTTCTCATCAACTTGGCTTTCTGAATGGTGCCAAATGTCAATGAGTCAGTGGTTGATCTTGACAACTTTGATTGCTACTTGTCTGAATTTCTACAGATCTAATTCATTACAATGTATACGAAAAAATTTCGTCCCTTTCCTTATTGAAACAACTCGATGTAAGTCATTCTCTTCAAATATTTTTTTCATGAAGTAATTTTCTGGTTTTAACGCACAATAATAATTGGTGATTTATAATTTTTTTTAATTAATGGCTTAACTGACGATCGATGAAGCCGCCATAGTTCACAAATGGCCAAATTTAATTTGTTGTTTGTATTTAATAAGTCAATAGAGATTCCCCAGAAGCAAGGTGAACGTAACCTTAAACTAATCATTAGAACATTAATTATATAAGTTGCGTTTATCATAAATATTGTTGCTTAAATTACAATTTGTCAAAAATGCCATGGTTGAGATAATTTGTGTGTTAGAGCCTAAGACGGAACTTGTGTATTTTTATAAGAAAATATACTATCTTCGTTTTATAATAGGTAATGTAGAATTTTTATTTCTGTTTATGAAAAGTATCTAGATTTTTAGACATAAATATACTTCTATCCATATTTAGGTTGTTAAATAGAAAGAGAAACTTATAAATATATTAATTAAAAGTATAATAAAAAAAACTAGAAATAAATAATAGGAACACCATTGGTTAAAAAGATTTCTGGATGGGGATACAGTTTTTAAAAGAAAACTAAAACAGCCATGTTAAACAGAAATTCAAGAGGATAGTAAGGTCAATTTACTTCTTTAAGGAAATTAATCTAATTTTGTCTAGGTACAAGAAAGTCAACAAATCTGATAATTTGAGTTTAACATTTGCATGGAAGTCAATAAATCCTTGAGCGCGTGATCATCTTCTTGTTTTCCGTGTAGCGAAAGTAAACGCGTAAAACATCGCGTAAACTATATACTATACGGTATGTGGTATGCAAATAATCTTTATTTTTTGGGCAATGAATTGAAAAGTTGAAAATTTATTTATCAACTTACCACATACAGTCACAAATTTAACCATGATTAATATTCTTTTGGGATTTAGCGAGATAAATCAAGATTAGGCTTTATTTTATTTTATAACACTCTAATGAAAAGTCGCGTTAAAACGTGTTTCACGTAACCGACCTCTAAAGTATGGCGTGCGAGTAACGACAAAAGAAATCTCAAATGGAAATTATTTTAATCTTATGATTTGTGATGTATTATAACACCCGTCGTACATCCTGATATGTGAACGTGGAATCTCGTTACAGTCGAATAAAATTATTGCTTAATACGATCTGTCTTTCTCTCTCTTTCGTAATGATTATTATCTATCAATATTATCTTGACTAATAAAAGTATCGCAAGGCCTTGGCAGTTACATGTTCAATGATATATGTAATATGTTGTTGTGCATGTTAAAACATAGTACAATGGTATCTAAGCTGCTGCTAAATTATATTTTAAAAATGCCGTTTTCTATGTATCTTTAGTATAATAAGGTTCCTATGACCAATCACTTAAAATGCATATGTAGTAATCAAATTTTAACTAATTGATCTATCAAAGAAATCACTAATTGTTTTCTAACAATTTGGAATTGGTAGAATTTTTTGGAGAAAAGATAAGTAATCCCTTCGATATTTGGAACTAAATTCAAGAAAAAGGAACATAATCGAGTTTTTTTTACACCATATACGAAAATTTTAAAGTTGTCATTAATTACTAATATACGATTAATTCATTAATATAAATTATTTTTTTAAGAAGAAGGGTCAAACTGTCTTTTCAAAATATGTATGGTGTGATTAATGGAGAGGTTAACAAAATCATTCACTTGATCACTTCCATAGAACAGATAATATTAATCTTAAAAATAAGAATAAGTTTGAAAATATGATCACTAGTTAGATGATTAGTTCACATCGAAATGTAATACGACTTAAACTGAAAGAGACATGAGCCAATTCGTGTCGAGCCACAAATTTTGGACGTATATTTTTGATTTTAGCCCGTGGTTCCACAACATTTGCAGGTCTTTATTTAATGATTTTTTTTTGTCTTGGTTAAATAATGAAATTTCCAAATTAGAAATAACAATCTGAGGCCCTACACTACAAGCACACACAGTAACTCCCACATTATATATAAAGCGGCCAATATTAGCAACACAGAGATTCCAGAAAAATAAAAGAAACAAATAATTCCAAAACCTTCTTTCTTTATCGAAATCAAGAAACTTGCAAGATCTGGTGAAAACCATGGAAGAAGGAGATTTTTTCAACTGCTGCTTCAGCGAGATTAATAGTGGCATGACCATGAATAAGAAGAAGATGAAGAAGAAGAGCAATAACCAGAAGAGGTTTAGCGAGGAACAGATCAAGTCACTTGAGCTTATATTTGAGTCCGAGACGAGGCTTGAACCGAGGAAGAAGGTTCAGGTGGCTAGAGAGCTAGGGCTGCAACCAAGACAAGTGGCTATATGGTTTCAAAACAAGAGGGCTCGTTGGAAAACTAAGCAACTTGAGAAAGAGTTTAACATTCTTCGATCCAATTACAACAATTTGGCTACACAATTTGAAATCATGAAGAAAGAAAAGCAATCTCTTGTCTCTGAGGTACATCATGATTCTATTGACATCTTTATTTTTAATTGAACACTGATGGAAAGAAAAATTGATTTGATGTTTTTTCTTTTCTGAATTATATCCATATTTATTACATTTAAATTATATCTACCATGTAAAACTCCTAACATAGTCGAAAAATCAATATATTAGATGGTTAATAAATGTTTGAGGGGAAGATTAATTTAGGGTGACAAAAACATGGATAAACACAAAAGACGATAGAAGCAAAGAAAAGATCTCTGATGGTTTTTGTGACCTAAATTTGATATTAAACAATCTCTATTTTGCAGTTGCAGAGACTAAATGAGGAGATGCAAAAGCCTAAAGAAGAAAAGCATCATGAGTGTTGTGGTGATCAAGGAGTGGCTCTAAGCAGCAGCACAGAGTCGCATAATGGAAAGAGTGAGCCAGAAGTGAGGTTAAACCAAGGGATTGTTCTATGTGATGATGGTGATTACAACAACAACATTAAAACAGAGTATTTTGGGTTCGAGGAAGAGACTGATCATGAGCTCATGAACATTGTGGAGAAAGCTGATGATAGTTGCTTGACATCATCTGAGAATTGGGGAGGTTTCAATTCTGATTCTCTGTTAGACCAATCTAGCAGCAATTACCCTAATTGGTGGGAGTTTTGGTCATAAAAACATATAAGAAAGAAACAAAACATAAGTGAAGAGAAAGAGTGTGAATAGTTTGTAGATTATGTGTTAATAAAAATAAATGTTAGTTTAGTTTAAATCTTGTTTCGATCTATGTATCTACTATGCTCAATACTCTTTGTAGCTAATTAGTAGTAAAGTCAAGAATCTCACAGAGAAGTAAACAAACTAGATTATTGGACAAGAACTTCAAGAAAATCTTGAGACAAACATATGAAAAAAGTAGCTTATGATGAGACTAGAAAAGTTTTGAAGTCATCATGGTTAAATTTGTGATTGCAAATACTATTAGGACAAAGAAGCTTCCAAGCCTCTTGGACCAAGCGTAATGATCACAAGTACAAGAGTCTTCGTCCATAATGATCTGGAAACGGATTCAAATTTAACCTAAATTTGAAACTAAGTGCATTTATCTCTATATTGGTGCTCTGCTATAATGCTTTCAATATCCTGGAGACGAATTTGTTCTGATCACATTTCGGTTCATCATCTCAAGTTCCTCTGTTAATCCCTTCCTTATGAGATATTTGTAGCTGGATTGGCATATTATGGAACAACTTCTTGTAGGTGCAGAACTAGTTCCATTTGGTGTTTGTCTATCCAGTCTCTAAGGAACAATCGAGTCATGTTAATCTTCCTATGATGATGTCATGTGGAGCATGTGCTTTGTAACAAGACTGTCAACCGAATGTCAAAGAATGGCTCTAAGTCAAGTCTTTATAGTGTCCTTACTACAGGCCGATGTAGACATTGGTAGTTGCACTTTTAGAACGAAGCTTGGGAAACGCATGTCCGGTAAATCGGAAATAAGTTCTGACCCATTAATCTGTATCAAAATGTAATCTTGTGTACAAAAGAATGTGTGTGTGTGTGTGTGTCGCTGTTCGTTTGATCAACTTTCTGGATAGAGATCCAATATATCACACACTGTTTCATAGTTTTACACTTCAACTATTTATTAAAGCAGCAAATACGAAAAGTTAGCGTCTTAGCGAAGACAACAACAACATGGATTGTTAAAGAATGCTCTGTTCTGTATTATTGATGGTTAATAAGTAACTCAAATAAGAAAACGTCTAATGATTTATCTTAATAAATGGTTGCACAGTAAAAACAACACATTACCGTTGTACGTTCTAACGGCAACTTTTTTTTATTACCGTTGTGACTTGTGATTAATTTCTATTTTTTCGTAACCCAAATATAAAAGAAAAAACCTAACCTTTAAGTGATTTCCATTTTTTTTAAAACAACTTAACATTTCCTTTTTCTTATTAAACGAATTTCCTTTATTTTTGTGGTTAACCTTCCCTTATATATATTGATCGCTTCTTCTATAATTCTCATTCGTCTAAAAGAAAACAAAAACCCTAATTCTTCTTTCTTTCTTTAATACCTATTTCTTCTCGAACTCGAGCAAGCTCTGTGACTGTTTAGAAATCTCTTACAGAGAGAATCATCGATCTCGAAACCATCAGCCGATCGATGCTCCATGTAGACTGATGTGAATCCGACAAAGTTAGAGTTCAATGCCGTCGAAACTGTAACTCGAAAGATTTTCTCGTGTTTGATCAATCCGAACGATTCCAAGTCGGGTCTCTCTAATCTCACATGAGCAAAAGATCTCGCCACTGTTCAAGAGGTGATGAATATCCTTTCTTTTTGTTTATCTTGATTCGTTTGGTATTATTATATTGCTTGCGTCTCTGTTTTTGCGCTTTTGCCTGGATTATAACATCGAATGTCTGATATTACTTACTTTCTTAATTAACCTATAGTTACTATAGATGCATCCTATGCGATTCTCACCGGCGGATTTTGTCAACGGTGGCGACTGAGAACGAGGACTATGTAGCAGATTCGAATTTCGATGGAGTAGCCTGAGGATGAATGAAAAAGAAGACGGTGCAGTGAAGGCTAACTAATGGGCCTTGGCAATGGGCTTTTCGCACTCCTCACACTTCCCAAATCCAACCAAGTAATAAAACTTTCTTTTCACTTTTTTTTTAAAATGTTTTTTTAAAGGACTTTTTTTACAATTTTTTTTTTTACAAAATGTTTTTGTTTTAAAAAAGAAACTAAGTGTTAAATATAATATACGTGAAAACTAACCGGACTTAGCATCCCGTCCTTTGGTCCGTAAGTCTTGAGGTGTCATAAGTTCTACATATTTTCACGTATATTAAATTTAACATTTGGTTACGTTTTAAAGTTTTCACAAATAAAGTTTTAAGTAAATTGTTTTGGATTTTAACTAAAAGTTTTTGATTTTACCAAATGTTTTTGTTTTAAAGACAAAACTAAATGTTAAATTTAATATACGTGAAAACTAACCGGACTTAGCATCCCGTCCTTTGGTCCGTAAGTCTTGTGGTGTCATAAGTTCAACATGTTTTCACGTATATTAAATTTAACATTTGGTTGAAGTTATAAAGTTTTCACAAATAAAGTTTTAAATAAATTGTTTTGGTTTTTAACTAAAAGTTTTTGATTTTACAAAATGTTTTTGTTTTAAAAACAAAACTAAATGTTAAATTTAATATACGTGAAAACTAACCGGACTTAGCATCCCGTCCTTTGGTCCGTAAGTCTTGTGGTGTCATAAGTTCAACATGTTTTCACGTATATTAAATTTAACACTTGGTTAAGTTTTAACGTTTTTTGCAAATAAAGTTTTAAATAAATTGTTTTGATTCTTACTGAAAAATTTTGATTTTACAAAATGTTTTTGTTTTAAAAACAAAACTAAGTGTTAAATTTAATATACGTGAAAATTAACCGGACGTAGCATCCCGTCCTTTGGTCCGTAAGTCTTGTGGTGGCATAAGTTCAACATGTTTTCACGTATATTAAATTTAACTTGGTTAAGTTTCAGCGTTTTTTGCAAATAAAGTTTTAAGTATTTTTTAAAAAAAAAAACTAAAAAATTTTGATTTTACAAAATGTTTTTGTTTTGAAAACAAAATTAAGTGTTAAATTTAATATACGTGAAAACTAACCGCACTTAGCATCCCGTCCTTTGGTCCGTAAGTCTTGTGGTGTATAAGTTCAACATGTTTTCATGTATATTAAATTTAACATTTGGTGAAGTTTTAAGGTTTTCACAAATAAAGTTTTAAGTAAATTATTTTGGTTTTTAACTAAAAGTTTTTGATTTTTCAAAATGGTTCTGTTTTAAAAACGAAACTAAGTGTTAATATACGTGAAAATAAACCGGAATTAGCATCCCGTCCTTTGGTCCGTAAGTCTTGTGGTGTCATAAGTTCAACATGTTTTCACGTATATTAAATTTAACATTTGGTTAAGTTTTAACGTTTGTTGCAGATAAAGTTTTAAATAAATTGTTTTGATTTTTAACTAATATTTTTTGATTTTACAAATGTTTAAAAACAAAACTAAGTGTTAAATTTAATATACGTGAAAATTAACCAGACTTAACCTTTGGTCCGTAAGTCTTGTGGTATCATAAGTTTAACATGTTTTCACGTATATTAAAATTTAACACTTGGTTAAGTTTTTAAGGTTTTTCGCAAATAAAGTTTTGAGTAATTTTTTTAATTTTTAGCTTTGAAAACAAAATTAAATGTTAAATTTAATATACTTGAAAACTAACCGGACTTAGCATCCCGTTTTTTGGTCCGTAAGTCTTGTGGTGTGGTGTAACAAGTTCAATATGTTTTTTCATGTATATTAAAATTTAGCACTTGGTTTAGTTTAAAGGTTTTTCACAAATAAAGTTTAAAGTAAATTGTTTTAGTTTTTAACTAAAATTTTTTGATTTTACAAATTGTTTTTGTGTTTTAAAAACAAAACTAAGTGTTATGAAATTTATGAATCTAAGTGCAGTAAACAAAACTACCAGCAAATGAATTTTTTAATCTTGAAACAGAGTAAAGAAGAGAACGTTTGTTTTTTGGAAGAATTGAGATTCGAAGCATCCATGAAAGGCTTGCTCATGAACGTTAAACCACGATGAGAGAAATCGCTGGTAATTGGGATTTCGCGAATCACCGATTAAATGATAACCGGTCCGAATTCGAAAATCCGAGTAAAAGCTTCATCGTGTACCGGGACTTTTGACTTTTGAATTTTTATTTGACCAACCCTTCGAAACGGGTCGGTCTATATTGGGCCTTATCACAATAGACTTTTTATTTCTTATTTATCAAACTGAACCCAACTTAGAACGAGTTATCGCAACAGAGTTGGCATATCACTTCCAATTGTCTTCTAATCTTCTAAACAAATCGAAATCTTGGACCAAGAACAATATCTTAATATTGGATACTTTTTTTTTAATATTGGAAGTAAATAAAATATGGAAAATCACTATTAAATTCTAAACATACACATTTTGACCTGACAAGACCCTTTACTCTCAAAAGAGATAAACCTTTTATTAAATGAGAATATATTTGTTTTGTACAAATAGAAATCACACAAATATCGCTAGTGAGGAATTTAACCTACTCTGGTAATCAAAAAGAAAAATATTACATGCACGCATAAATAATTTGTTTTGTTTAATAAGGATGTAGATTGATTGGTTATTTCCCTGCTTTGATAAATTCCAAACTAGATAATCACCCGTACTACAATACGGGTTGAATTTCATTTATTACAAAATTTATATATTATATAGTTATAGAATAAAATCGTGATATATTATAATAGTAAGTAAAAAAATATTAATTTTTTTATGTCAGTCCATATATATAATATTAGAATGAATATATTTTTATTTTTCTGTAATCCTCAATTATGGATATATTTTTTAAAGATATGAAAACGGAAAATAATATTATTTTCAAAAAAAAAATAATATTGTTTGAACAATTAGTTAATTAATGTTAACAACCACAAAATGAGAGTGCATATAATTTAGTTAGATCAAAAATCAAAATATCATAAATGAATCGCATCTAAAACGTAGATTATTTTGAATTAGTTAAAAAAGTTAGCTATTATTTTGAATTAATTTAGGAAATTATTTTTTCAAATTATAATTCATTGGTTGTTGAAATAGAGATTTGTTTGACCTAATTATGGAATTTACCAATTATTCACATAATCGAA